ACAAAATTAAATACCTATTCATGAAAAAAAAAACTCTCAGTAAAATAGGAATGTAGCGGAACTTCCTCAACTTGATTTAAAAAATCTACAAAAAACTGGCAGCTAACATCATAACAATGAGAAATTAAAAGCTTTTCACATTAAATCAGGAAAAAGGCAAGGATGTTCCCTCCCACCACTCCTTTTCAAAATCTTACTGGAATCCCTAGTTATTGTAATAAAACAAGAAAAAGAAATTTAAGGTATACAGACTGAGAATGAAGAAATAAAACTGTTTTGTTCCCAGATGATATGATTGCCTATGTAGAAAATCTGAAAGGATCAACCAAAAACTCTTAGAACTCATAAGGAATTTTAGCAGGGTTGCAGGATACAAGTTTAATACACAAAAGTCCATCACTTTCCTATGTACCAGCAATGAAAAAATTAGAATTTGAAATTAAAAACACAATTCAATTTACATTAGCATCCCCAAAAATGAAATAAATATAAATTTAACAACATATGTATAAAATGTTTATGGGAAAAACTATAAAATATTGATGAAAGAAATCAAAGAAGAACTAAATAAATGGAGAGATATTCCATGTTCATGAATAGGAAGACTTAATATTGTCAAACTGTCAGTTGACTTGATTTATAGATTCAATGTAATCCCAATCAAAATCCCAACAAGTTACTTTTTAAATATTGACACATTAATTTTAAAGTTGATGCAGAGAGTCAAAAGATCCAGAATAACGAACACAATGTTGAAGGAACAGAACAAAGTCAGAAGAATGATATTACCCTAGTTCAAGATGACTATCAAAGCTACAGTAATGAAGACATTGAGGTAGGAGAGTACTGGCAAGAAAATAGACACATAGAACAATAGAACAGAATAGAAAGTCAGTAGTAGTTCCACATAAATATAGTCAAGCAATCTTTAACAAAGGAGGAAAGACAATACAATGGACATCCACATGTAAAAGAAAAAAAATGAATCTAGACACAGACCTTAACTTACACTCTTCACAAAATTAACTCAAAGTGGATCATAGACCCAAATGTAAAACACAAATCTATAAAACTCCTAGAATGACATAGGAGAAAATCTAAATGACCTTGAGTTTGTCAATGACTTTTTAGTTAAATGTCAAAGTCATGATCTAAGAAAGAAATAATTGATAAACTGGACTTCATTAAAATTGAAGATTTTTACTCTGCAAATGATATTATCAAAAGAATGCAAAAACAAGTCAGACTGGGAGAAGATATTTGTGAAAGACATATCCATTTATAGACTGTTATTAAAAATATACATAGAACAGTTAAAACTCAACAATAAGAACATAAAAATCCTAGTTAAAAATAAGCCAAATACCTTAAAAGTCACCTAATCAGAAAAGATATACAGATGGCAAATAAGCATATGGAATCATGCTTATATGTCACCAGGTAAATGCAAATTAAAACAATAACATATCACTACACCCATATTAGAATGGCCAAAATTAGGAACACTGACAATCTCCAAATGCTGGTGAGGATGTAGAGCAATGGGAATGCTCATCCCTTGCTAGTGGGAATGCAAAATGACACAACAACATTGGAAAATAGTTTGGCAGTTCTTACAAAACTAAACACACTCTTATCATACAATCCAGCAATTATGCTCCTTGGCATTTACCCAAAGGAGTTGAAAACTTATATCCACACAAAAACCTGCACATGGGTGTCTATAGCAAATTTACTCATAGTTGCCAAAACAACTTGGAAGCAACAATGACGTCCTTCAGTAGGTGGCATAACCTGTGGTACATCCAGACAATGGAATATTGCTTAGAGCTAAAATTAAATGCGCTATTGGACCATGAAAAGGCATATAGGAAACTTAAATGCATATTACTAAGTAAAAGAATCCAATCTGAAAAGTCTACATATAGTATGATTCCAACTATATGACATTCCGGAAAATGCAAAGCTATTCAAACAATAAAGACATCAGTGGTTGCCAGGGGTTAGGTGGAGAAATGAACAGGTAACACAGAGACAATTTTTAGGACAATGAGGCTACACTCTATAGGATACTATAATGATGGTTACATGCTGTTACACATTTACCCAAACCTTTAAAATATATTAATATAACACCAACAGTGAAAATGCTAATGCAATCAATGGAATTTGAGTGATGATGAGACATCAATGTAGCTTATCAATTATAATAAATGTATCATCACTTTATTGGAGGGTGAGGGCAACGGGGAAGGCCATGCATGTGTGGGAACAGGGAGTATATGGGTGATCTGTGTACCTTCTACTCAATTTTGCTATAAACCTAAAACTGCTCTAAAAAATAAAGAGTATTAAAAATATAAATGAGTCAAAAGCAACTTAGAGGTTTAAATCTAATGTATTCATTAATTTGTTCATTTAACATATATATTTATTTTCTCATCCTCCTGTGAGAGACAGAAAACAAAACAAACAAAACCCAAGAAAGTAAGAGAAAGTACCATCTGCTATGTGGAGGAGATAGGTAAATTCACAACTAATGGGTGCGGAGCACACTCTTTGGGGGATGGGTATGCTTGTAACTCTGGCCTGGGTGGTGCAAAGGCATTATATGTTACCAAAATGTTTGTACCTCCATAATATTCTGAAATTAAAACAATAAAAAAAAAATCTCATGAGCTGTTAAAAAAAAATCATTTGGCTTCCAGTAGCAGCTCTGAAACATCACATATTAGCTTTTGGTCTCCCCGTAACTATGCTTATTTCCCAAATGCAATGCAAATTCATGATTCTGTGGCTACGGCATTTGCATGTTACCCATAATATTGAAAACTGTCTAAAAATCTTTTATACTGTTTGGGAAGTGGGGAAATGGAAGTCAGATTCCATTAGCAGTCTGTGACCAGTGAACTGCAAGTGACCTGAACTATGGAAAGAAGCAAACCTTATTATACTATAAACCCAGTGACATGTCTCTTCCTCCTAAAGCACAGATAATTGTGCAGTTCTCCTATCAGGCCATGGATACTGGTTCTCAGTAGAGGAAGTTCATTATAAATATTAATTTGACTAAAGCTAGAGGTCTTGGGAATTTAGGTACTATAAGCTGATAAATACATTTATACATTGAACACAAATTAGAAAATCCTCCAAAAGTCAAGGCTATCTTTTATGAAAATCTAGTCATAAACATCATTTATGTCTTGACTATATTTAGGCCCCCTATGTAATCCAGAAATCAAGTGATAAGGAAAATTCCATGCCACTGACAACCCCTCACATGGAAAGTCATTAGAACAGTAGGGTCTGAATTGTTCCATGAACCGAATGTTCAGTGCCACTCTGATATTATCACAGGAACGCAGAGCAAAATCTTAGATGTTCTCCTGTAAATCATACGTATTGTGAATAGAATCCCCCTCCACTGGTGAATCATTGCCCTACCAAGACTGAATCAGGCCTTCACACAGAGGATGCATTCGTTTGTAAGCTAACTTTCCACTCTGTCCTAAGTCGAAGGCCAAGATTATAAAATAAAGCAAAGAAGGGCAAGCCCAATAGGTTCAGTATATGAGAGAGAATTTATTTTGTTTCTTAAAAATTACACAGGCAGTTACTTTCCAAGTCAGTGTTCAAAGAGCACTGATTTTTATCTGATTATCTACATTTAGCTGATTTTTATGATTTAGATTTGAAAAGGGAGGCAAAATATTTTATTTGTAAAGAAAGACAGGCCTTAGAAATATCTATTCCAGCTATCATTTCACAGAAGGAAAACTAAAGTACAAGAATTTAAGGATATGTTAAAAGCTAGGGAGAAGGGCCAGGGCTGACATCCAGGTTTGTGATTCCAGTTCAGCGGTGGTTCTATTATACATAAAAACAGAATTGCAAAAATAAAGACTACTTGCTTTATTTTTTGCACAGTGGAAGAGAGAGAAATGAAACATTTTTTCAACTTCCTTAGAGGAAGGTTATATAACATATATTGCCAGACCGGAAACTAAGAACTTTTCTTTGAAAGAATTCAGATGGCGTTATGTAATTATTTATTACTATAAACTAATTATGAGTTGGATTCAAGAGGCACTATGTTGTCATCAAGACAGCCCGCAGAGTAGAAATGACCAATTTAAACTTTTCATTGTTCCATTGCGGGCAGCCTACCAGCACAGGGATAGGTTGAGTATATAGATTTTAAATCATAAAACCGATCTTAGGGACATAGTTTTTCTCCAGCTTTCAACAGTGGAGACAGATTGTGTATCATGGAAAGACATCAGTGCTTGCCAAAAACACCATTGACTGAAATGAAACGACTACCTTGAAATCAACTAGAAGAGGCATGCAGAATTGTGATGTTTATTGCCCAACCTTCTTGGGCAAGGAGAATGTTGGCCTAATTATAGCTATTTTGAATCAGGGAACCTCTGCAAGTCAGTTGTTGCCCTTAAATAAAAAAAGTCAAAAAACTTGATGTCAAAAATGACATGTACATGGCCATATCAAAGATCATTTCTTATACTAATCAAATAACAGAGACATCTTCATGAAAAATTTACTTTAGTGAACAAAGAGTGCTTCATCTTTATTTTATTTCTATAAATTTGACTCAATGTTTTGTTGGCTGTGTTCACTAATTTTGTATAAAAATGGCAAGATCATTATCTTCCTCATCAATTCCATTAGTCTCATTATCAGAACAGATATACAAATAGTTTATTAGCATTATATTAAATACTTTACAAGGGTTAACTCTTGATTCTTTGAAAACTTTATTTTTTTATTTTTAATTTTTATATTCTATTATAATAACTTTATTTATGAGACACAAATTGACCATAATACTTTATATACTTTTCTGACACTCACAATAACAAACTGATAAGAAGATGCTATTATTCTACCCATTTTATAGATGAAAGAAAGATTAAGTATAGTGCCCACAAATTAATAATTTTCCATTTCAGACAATCTAACTCCAGTTACCTTTCATTTAGCAATTCTGTGAGTGCACAGGTATGTCTGTTGAAGAGGAGACGAGATCCATGGCTTTCAGTGGACCTTCAAAACAGTTTGTGATGCAAAAACTTCTATAGAGATGACCAGGAATTTACTTAAGAAACAATCACGTGGATGGATCCAGGTAATGGGATAGAAGATAGTAAAGATTTGGAGAGTTTAAACTTGAGGATCTCCTCTTATATTCTCCAAATGTCGATGCTATTTTTCCAATGCTAAGTTCAGAAGAGGCTCTTATAAACAACCTTCATCAAAACAACTCACCAGAATACTAAAGCTCCCTATATTCTCTGTCGTGATTTTCACATTGGGTAGCAATTAGGTTGGAAGTACTTCTTAGCATATGTGTGTTTTCCTGCTCCAATAGTTGAACTTTATGCTTCCCTCAATCATCCCAAATATGTTTTTGACAGTAGTACACACTTTTTACTGTAATTACTTAAATTAATTAAATTGTAAGTATGAAAAGAAAGTAAACTAAGAGAAATAGTTTATTTAAAAGGCAATAAACTAGGCAGGGGTAACAAACTATTACTATTTGAAAAAAATGATACAATTCTAAAAGGATTGTATACTCAGTTGACTTCATGTACATTTCTCATTCCATTTTAGAAAATCCAAACAGAATCATTAATAGTATGATGATTTATTCAAGGAGGATATTAACTCTAATCTGAGGATTTATATTTTGATAACTTTAAAAAGGCCTTGTACTAACATTGAAAGATTGGTTAATGTATGTATTTCCATTTTTCAAGTGAAAATAAAGTATATGTTATGTGTTATTTCAAATGAAACTTTTCAAATTGAACAAATACTATGGTGTTGAGGAAGGTAAAAAGAATCTGTACTATAACTTTTTACCGCTTTTTCAGCTTCTGTACCATTGCTAAAAACAAAAATCTGAAAGGAGATCATTCACTTGCTTAAAATTAAAAGGATGTGCAAAGTTTGTTTACAAGAGGAGATAAATTGAAATTTTGCAACATAAAAGTTTCAGGCCCCATTGATGATTATAGATGGAAATAGTCAGGAAGATTCAGAATGAGCCTTCCCTTGGTCATGCTGCCACCCAAAAGGAAGCCAATACACTGAGACAGCAGGGTTTATGGCAGAGAAAGAGTTTGATTCCATATAGCACTAAGTAGGGAGATGGAAGGAATTTCCCAAATACGCCTCCCCAGGAATTTGAAAGATAGGGTTTTTAAGGATAGTTTGGTGGGTGAAGGATTAGGCAATTAGGTTTTCTAATTTAGGCTGGTTTCAGGGTGGAACCATAGGGCTGTAGAAATTGTCTTCTTTGCTGACCTGTTCTTGGGTGGGGGTCACAAGACCAGTTGAGTCAGTTCCTCTGTATGGGCCACTCGTCTGGGTGGGTCAGCCATTACACTGGAATGCAGGACCTGGAAGATATCTCAGATGATACCCCTTAGGTTTCAAAAAGGTAATTCTATCTATGGAGAAAGTTAAGAGTCTTTATGACCACTAGCTATGTGGCTCCAGAGTAGCGATGATAGAGAAGCAAACAGAGGGACAGTGGCTAATTATTATCATTATTTAGCTGGATTGATGCCTTATATTTAGCTAGGCCCTTACCACAGTTCTAACCTTTCACCCTTTATTAATTTGTAAGGGCTGCTTCAGTCAGAGTAACAACAGAATCAACAAATATGTAGGGAGACCTAAATTGTTATCACATGTTCTCACTCTAGGTAATTGTAACCTCCAAATAATTTGCATAATAGTTTCATGCCTCTATCACTTCATCTCTAAAATAAGAAAATTTCAAAGTTAACCTACTATCCTAGTCTACTTTAAGAATTCTATGATTTTCACATTGGCTAGAAATTTTGATCACATAAAAACTATTAGATCAACTCTTCAGAGAGTATTCAAACTTAATTAAGTTTTATTTTTGTTTTACATTGTACACAGAACTATGATTTCATTATACACAGTTTGAGTCCACTCAAACTTTGCAGAAACTAGCCAGCAATTAAGATATCAAGTCATTAGGTTTAAAAAATCTCAAATATGGAATCAAAATTATTTCAGTCCCAGCTACAAGGGAGGCTGAGGCCAGAGGATTGTTTGAGGTCAGGAGTTCAAGGCTACAGCACATTGTGATGGTAGAGTTATGGATAGCCACTCTGCACTCCAACCTAGGCAACATGGCAACATCCCATCTTTTAAAAAAATCCATAATACTAATAGAAAATGTTATTCTACAATACTCAACATTAACATTATTCTTAGAAAGGTTTGAGAACAAGAGGTGTAAGGATGGAAAGCTTCATTGGTGCCCACAGTGTGAGTGAAGAAAAGTTTCTCACACAGAGATCAGCATATAAAAGTATAAAATTTATTTTATCCTTTTAGAAGGAAAGAGAGTGAGAGAGTGGGAGAGAGAAAAGGGAAATAAAGGGGGAAAAGAGAGGGTAGTAGCATAATGAGGTGCTAGAAAGAGAAGGGAGGTACTCACACAGAGGCTGAGAGGCTGTTGGTTATTATGGGGACAAAGAGAAAGAAAAAATATTAGTTATTATAGTCAGTTGATAACAGAAGTGGCTGTGGAGTAATTAGCAGGAGCAAGTTGTAAGATGCCAAGTTGTTCATCTTTCCTCTTTTCTCTGCTCCTGTGGACTTGGTTATCCCTGAAATGTGATCAGGTTAATCCTGAGGGATGTGTTTTTGCCCCTGAGATACAGTTTTGGGTAGAAAACTGAGGCCTAGATTTTGCCCCCCAACCCCTGTTGTCAACTCAGGACTCCTCAGGGACTCCTTGAGGCTATAAGAAAAATTCTAAAAGGCAGTGAGCTAGTGAATGTAAAGAGAAAGATTTACATTTCCTTTTTGTCTATTTGGCTCCTTTTAGATGTTTTGAAAACAGAACCTGGCAGTATGCCTGCCAGCAGAGAGAGAGAGAGCAGAGAGAGCTCATAGGATTGATCATTAACTGTTATTGGGGAAGTTGTGGGATTAGATATTTCCTGAGATTTTCCACAAGGCCGCCCTTTCAAAAGGAACGGCAAATCTTAAAGTGAATCTATTTTAAAAATCTGATTTCTCTTAAATACAGTGGACCTTATTAAGCCTGCCAACTGTAAGCATCAATTTCATTAACAAAGAAAGTATTCATACTTAACAAAGAAATGTGTATATTCAGGATCTGTGTATGTATATATTCAAAGAAATGCATATATTTAGGATGTATTCCAAATGTTTAAATAGAATGTCACATCATATATTAAAAGTTAACATCATAGGTTATTCACAAAAGAAAATGGTCTACCTTCACTGTTCTTACTTTTGAGTATATATAATATAATTACATAGGTAGATAGAATTTTGTGATTCACTATGTCTCTTCCACTCTTGTTGGACTTAGTGGAAAACCTCAGAAGAAAAACCATAAAGGTAAGTCTCAGAGGAAACAAGGACTCTTTGCCTCATAGTGTCTCCCTAATATGAATACATTTCCACTCTGACTCATCATGGTTTATTTTATAGAGTTCTATTCTAGCCAGTCTGGTGATGTTATATGCATTTACTAACTATCCAGAAATAAGAGGTTACACTAGGAATGTTCCTACATATTATGCTAATGAAAGGGTTGAACATTTACAGCATGTTGCTCACATTCTTTCCATGGGCTTATCCGGAGGGGCAGACCAAGGACACTGAATTCATAGAATACACAAGAATCTCCAATTTAATCTGATGAATTATGACTATCAAACTACAGTCTCAGAAAAGACATGTTTTCATATAAACCTTGACTCCAAAAATGTGATATCTCAGTAACTACAGAATAGAGATATCTTGTACAATTACTAAGATAACTGCACAATAACTCTTTTCTTTTTAGGGTCAAACAATCTCAAAAGTTTTAAATTTTCAGTTTGGGTATACAAAGCAACTAAGTTTCCTAAGTATGATACACATGAAGAAGCCAATTCTGTAAGTTCAATAACTTTGCTACCCTGCAGGCTAAGATAGGCAGACACAACGGTATAAAACGTAGATCTTTATCTGACTCCATTTATTCTGGAAAGAAGTATGACATTTCCTATTTCCACCATTATATTTCAAATCATTGCAGTTTAACAGAAATTAGTAAAGAAAATAGGAAAACTGGGAAAGAATAACTTTGAAAGTTATTGTACAGTTAATACAAAAATATTAGTCCACGTGCTGTCAGTATTGAGCTGTCATTAATGTTATGTTTTAATTTAATTATTATGCATTTTTCTAACTATGTTTTAAGTTTATTGTAGATAGTCATTGTATCTTATATATGTATTTTTTTTTCTCAGAATGTCCTGCCCAGTATTTTATACAAAGAGAATGCTATATGTTGATGGGCCAATTTATTAACTGATTGTTAGTGCTGAAAGCAGTTTCTCTGACCTCCAGGTAATGCCAGTGGTGGGAGGGGTGGGAGGAAGGAAATGCTGGTGACTGCCCTGTGATGTGTGTTACCTAGATGAGATTGTTTACTTAAAATTCTCAGTAGTATAAAATCATATTTCAGTTTACTTAAAATTAATAGTTTTTCTCTGCTTGCCAAGGGACACTACCTTATAGCATTTTCTTGCCTTCAATTTTATAATTTTATAATCAAAAAGAATCAGAATATTATTAACATATATGAAATATTAATTAACATACACAAACATGTATGAAATATATGAATATATATTAACATGTATGAAATATCCATTTTTTCTTCCAAACTGAAGTGAAATGCTCAAAAAATTCTCTAAGTGTGATATGAACTTTTCAGTTCTGACTTCTCTGACATTAATATTCACCTAAAATCACACAAATGTATAAATGGCTTTATGGCCAAGAAAAAAAAAGAGGTATTTTATATGCTTAACCATAGAGCTCTTACTATAAATTCAAAGCATTGACATAGTGTGAACTTAATGCTATACATGTATAGTTTTATAAAGGGTTTTAGTTACTGAGTCATTCTAGAGCCCAGAGTTCCATGTGAGTAATTTTATTCAAGGGAGAGCAAGTATCCACATTCTTAATGTTTGTTTAATGACCCAATAGAACTTGGATAATGAGACAATCGAGGGCTGAGGAAGGTACGCCGTCCATCACAGTGAGTCTATCGCTGGTGACATACTGTTTATTTACAATGCGGTATAGGAAGACCTATGCTCACACTGCCGACATAAACAGAACAATAAAAAGCACTTAAAGCCACTTATATTCATTTTGAAATTAAGCCCATGGGGTGATGTCAAGATTTCTACTCTTTCTGACAGAGAGAGATACAGCATTTATCAACAGCTGTATGCCGCATTCTTCAAACAGTGCACAGCAGGGACTTGGATTTCTACAATTCTTATTTCATTCTAATGGAGAAACAGTGAAATTGAAGAAAAAAAGAATCACTAGATCATCTACATTATCTTCATAGTTATGTGTATGACACACACTGTCTCATTTTTCCCAGGCCTGTTTTTGATGGTTTCCAATACAATTCTCCTAGTACTTTTCTTCATCCCAGTACGATACAATTTAGCTGTCACTGGATCCCTTTTCCTCTTTTTAAGGTTATCTCTTTATTCCTAGTAAATTCTGCAGGGTAAAATATTTCTGAGCCTTCTCATTGGCAATGAGATAGTTTAGCTATTACTAAATAAAAACTTATGTCTGTATTTAATCTTTATTTTTTTATTTCAAAGTATTAAGGGGGCATGAATGTTTTTGGTTACATGGATCACTTTTGTAATGCTTGAGTCACGGCTGTAAGTGTGCCCATCATTAAGATTTCACGTGAAGTCCCATCATACATCACCTGCACATTATTTATCTTTTCCCCCCAGTTTTAATTGCTACTCTGCCACTGACTGACACTTTCAAGAAGTTAATTTAAAAAATCAGAGGGATAATTCTATTCTACCTATGTGATTTGGCAGTGAAGAAACATGTGTCTAGCTATATCAGCAACATGTGTCTAGATGCACAACCTTACACTAAAAATAAGGTAGTCAGAGTGAGGTGAGATCAGGGTTTCTGATTCCTGTCCTTCAACCTAAAGATGAGTTCAATTACATAGACTAGAAGAAAACCGTATTATAATTTTCACACTAAGAAATCATGTCTGATTCATACTTGCTGCTTTAGCACCAGGACTAAGGATATTGCTTGGCATGTGGCTGGTAATCCTTTGCTAGAAATATTTTCTTGATAGAAATACTTTGGTAATATTGAATCACCAAGAGTTAATAATAATAGAAAGATTTCTGACAATTTTACTCATAAATATTAAGATTCAGCCTATCATATGCTCTTTATGATCTTCATCTCTTTAGTAATATTTTTAATAACATCTACTTTCAAAATATTTTTTCTTTAATTCATGTATAAAATACTAACTTTACTGGTCCATTCTCGACCTGTACAACTTATCTAATAATCTTGTTCTTTATCTGATTTTTCTCTAATAGCATTCATACCTAGACCAATTGGAAAAAAAAACTAATAAATGTGATTATGTGATGTTTACTATCAAGTTATTTTCAGAGCATTGATATTATATTCATTGTCTTCTGTACTCATTGATCAAAAGAACAATCAAATTTTATCTTAGGGCTATTTAACCTAATAAGTTCTTACTAGTAGAAAATATTCCCTTTTTGCTGTAATTCACATTTCTTATATTTCTTATATTTTACCTATATATGTATTTTACCCACAATAACCACACACAATAGAGTGTGCTAATATTATAATTTAATCATTGGTCATATTTCCCATTTTGTTTAAAAACTGCTATATTATACAAGTTTTAAAACACATTTCAAATACTTCCTATATTGGTTCAGTAACCAGTAAAAATTTAAATATAAAAATCAAATAAAAATGTCAGTATGTCTTATTGATATGTCTCCTTTGAGCATTTAAAATTAATTTAGGTTTAGCCATTACCACATAATTGCAGAAATAAGCTTTGTTATTTGGAAATACGCCTATATATTTGTCATAAATTTTAAAGATCTGTATAACAGCAATTTTGCAGGGATTCACAGACCTTCAGATTTCACAGACCTTTATAGTGGCTGCTATTAACTCATGCATCATTTCACTCATTGATTCATCAAAGATACATTGAACAGGTACCACTTGCTCAGCCCTCATCTAATATTGGAGAATCAGAGGTAAAGAAAGACATGGTCTCTGAATTCTTGGAGTTAGAATCTACTATGGTCTTGCATTTCTTTTATCTGTATACTTTGACTGCAGTGTAATGTTTTTGGAAGTTTCCACTTTCTATTTAGAAAGTTTGAAGTGCATTAATATAAATTGAGTATTCTTTGGGATGTTTTGATTCTAATAGGATGTATAAGAAATTTCAGATGATGTTCAACTATCATAATATGATTAAATGATATTTTGTTAAGGAGTGACATGATAATCTGCTAAAAAGTGGTAAATCTTTTATCTCCTTTGTCAAAGATCATTTGGTTGTAAGCATATGGCTTTATTTCTGGGTTCTCTGTTGTGTTCTGTTGGTCTATGTGTCTACTTTTATAACAGTACCATGGTGTTTGGTTACTATAGCCTTCTAGTATAATTTGAAGTTGGATCCCATGATGCCTCCAGATTTGTTCTTTTTGCTTAGGGTTAGTTTGGCTATTTGAGCTCCTTTTTGATCCATATGAAATTAGAATTTTTTTTCTGATTCTGTGAAAAATGACATCAGTATTTTGATGGGGAATTGCACTGAAGCTACAAATCACTTTGGGCAGTATGGACATTTTAACAATATTGATTCTTCCAATCCAAGAGCATGAATGTTTCCCTGTGTCATTTATAATTTATTTCATCAGTGTTTGTAGTTCTCGTTGTAGAGATCTTTCACCTCCTTGCTTAAGTATATTCCTAAGTTTTGGTTTTTTGTTTTTTTTTTTGTAGCTATCATTTATGATATTGTGTTCTTGATGTGATTCTCAGCTTGGTTGTTATTAGTGTATAGAAATGCTACTGATTTGTGTACATAAATGTTGTAACCTGAGATTTTATTAAATTTATTTATTAATTCAAGGGGTCTTTTGGAGGACCCTTTGTAGTTTTCTAGATATAAGATCATATCATTGGCAAACAGGGGTAGTTTCACCTCCTTTTTTCCAATTTAGATGCCCTTTATTTCTTTCTCTTGCTGGATTACTCTGGCTAGGACTTCCACTACTATGTTGAATAGAAATGATGAAAATGGGCATCCTTGTCTTGTTCCAGTTCTTAGTAGGAATGCTTTGAACTTTTCTCCATTCAGGATGATGATTGCTGTGGGTTTCTCAGATATGGCTTTTATAAGCAGACAAAAACATACACTGAGGAAAGAAGGTCCTATTCAATAAATGGTGAGGGGAAAATTGGGTAGCCATATGCAGAAGAATAAAATTGGATCTCTATCTCTCACCATATACAAAAATTAAATCAAAATGGATTAAAGACTTAAATGTAAGACCTGAAACCATAAAAATTCTATAAGAAAACTTAACAAAAACACTTCTGGACATTGGCCTAGGCAAAGAATTTATGACTCAGACCCCAAAAGCAAATACAACACAAGCAAAAATAAATAAATGAGATTAAACTAAAAATGCATCTGTAAAGTGAAAGAAATAACAACAAAGTAAATAGACAACTTATAGAATGGGAGAAAATATTCACAAACTATACATCTGAGAAGAACCAATCCAGAATCTATAAGGAACTCAAACAAATCAGCAAGAAAAAAAAATAAATAGCCTCTTTAAAAAGTGGGCAAACAACATGAACAGACATTTTTGAAAAGAAGATAGACAAATGATCAAGAAATGAATGAGAAAATGCTCAGCATCACTAATCAACAAAAAAATGCAAATTAAAACCACAATGAGATACCATCTTACCCTTGTCAGAATGGCCCTTATTAAAAAGCAAAAAAACAATAGATGTTGGCATGGATGTAGTAAAAAGGGAACATTTATACACTGTTGATGAGAATGTAAATTAGTACAACCTCTATGGAAAGCAATATGAAGATTCCTTAAAGAACTAAAAGTAGACCTACCATTCAATCCTACCATGCAATCTCACTACTGAGTATCTACCCAAAGGAAAAGAAGTCATTATATCAAAAAGACACATGCACTTACATGTTTATCACAGCACAATACACAATTGCAAAGATATAGAGTCAACCTAAGTGTCCATGAACAGCTGAGTGGATAAAGAAAATAGATGTGTGTGTGTGTGTGTGTGTGTGTGTGTATGTTTATCATGGGATACTGCTCAATGATAAGAAAGAATGAAATAATGCCTTTTGCAGCAACTTGGATAGAACTGGAGAACATATCCTAAATGAAGTATCTCAGGAATGGAAAAACAAATACCATGTGTTCTCATTTATAAATGAGAGCTAAACAATAGATATACATGGTCATACAGTGTAGTATATAGACATTGGAGACTCAGAAGGGGGTGGTTGGGAAAGGGATGAAGGATCAAAAATTACCTATTGGGTACAATGTATACTACTCAGGTGACAGATACACTAAAAGCCCTGATTTTGCTACTGTACAATTTGTCCATGTAACAAAAAAAAACATGTATACCCCATAAATCTAATTTACCTTAATTTCACCCATAGTAAAGTGTGATAAAATCTTGTTTCATATGTTTTTTTAGATTTTAATACTATATTGCATTTTTTTAATTTCAGGATATTATGGGGGTACAAACATTTTAGTTACAAGTAATTCCTTCGCCTCACCCAAGCCAGGGCTAAAGGTGTGTCCTTCCCCCATAGAGTGCACACTGCATCCAATTGTTTTGAGTTTGCCCACCCCCCCAACCCTTATCTGACTGACATGAATATTACTAGTATGTGAGTACTTTAATGTTGATCAATTAGTACCAGTTTGATGGCCAGTACATGTGGTGCTTACTTTTCCATTCTTGTGATATCTCACTTCAAAGGATGGGCTCCAGCTCTATCCAGGATAATATAAGAGGTGCTAGATCACCATTGTTTTTTTGTAATTGAGGAGTATTCCATAGTATACATACACCACATTTTATTAATACACTCATGTAGTGATGGGCACTTGGGTTGTTTCCCCATCTTTGCAATTTTGAATTGTGCTACCATAAACATTCAAGTGCAGATGTCTTTATTGTAGAGCATCTTTTTTTCCTTTGGGTAGATTTCCTAGTAGTGGGATTCCTGGATTAAATGGCATTTCCATTTTTAGCTCTTTGAAGTATCTCCAAATTATTTTCCACAAATCAGTGGCATTCATATATGCCAATAACAGTCAACCTGAAAATCAAATCAAATATGCAACACCTTTCCCAATAGCTTCAAAGAAAATTAAATATCTAGGAATATATTTAATGAAGGAGGTGAGAGATATATATAGGGAGAACTACAAAACACTGAGGAAAGAAATTGTAGAAGATGGAAACAGATGGAAAAATCTACCATGCTCATGGATCGGCAGAATCAATATTGTTAAAATGTTCATAGAATTAATGTAATCCCTATAAAAGTACCATCATCATTCTTTACAGACATAGAAAAAATAATTCTATGCTTTGTATGGAACCAGAGAAGACCTCATTTAGTCAAAGCAATCTTAAGCAAAAAGAACAAACTGGGAGGCATCAGTCCACCAGACATCAAGCTATACCATGAGGCTATCGTAACCAAAACAGCATCGTACTGGAACAAGAATGGAGATATAAACCTTTGGAACAGGACTGAGAACCCAGATATAAAACCATCTGCATATTATCATCTAATCTTTGACAAAGCATATTGCATTTTTTAAAATGTATATGTGTTTTTTTTTTCTGTGTAAAATTTATATCCCTAAATGGTGGAAAATGCTTACTTATAAAACTCAAAATAGGCAATTTCTGAAAATTTTTCAAACAGAA